ATTTTATTTATTTCTTCCACACCCCTAGTTCTCTCTTGATAAGACATCAATATTCAGAAGACAACATGCAGCTGATATGCGACACCACAGAACAAGGAAGGTCCCACCTTTCGGCAGTCTCCGACACAGTTAACCTACCACGGAAGTAACAGTACTCCAGCAAACATAGCAACGTAGTAGCCTCATCTATCTACTCCCTATCGTCAATTTCCATGTCCAATACTCTATGATCTCCTCCAATTGCTTTTCTCTTCCGATCAGTTACACCTGTGCTGAGCTGCCCAAACTCTCAGCAAAACCATGAATCCCATGGGGATGGTGATTCACCTACAGCCTGATGAGCAGCTCACTCATGCGGCCATGCCAAAGCCCAATTCCATTCTCAGTTGACCTTCCTGATTGCGTCTAGCAACTTCTCTCATGCAAGTCCTCCCCATGGCCAAAGAATCGAGGCCAACTGGAGCCACCAAATTTTCGCCAATAGGAGACTTCCCGCCAGTGAGCGACTCTCCGGGAAACCTCCACTTGACGATTTAGTCCAAGCTAGAGCATAAGTCCTAGTCTGGAGCACTAAGCACTAAGCAGATCAAGCCCCAACTTTTCACCAGCTCGATTTTTGCCGGGGTCTTTCCATCAGGCATGCCTGCAGCTACTGCTGGATCCCAACTGGATAGACAGCTCATCTCCCTCTATCCTCTCCCGCACTGAAATACGCCTCTCATCCACAAATCACTCGAAAACAAGGAGGAAGTAGTGTGCCTGTGAAACATTAGAGGAGGAGAAAGCGGAAGGACGACAAGGTTAACCGTGGCCCACTTCGGCCTGAGACCTACACCGACATGTTGACAAACGCTAGAATCTCTGGCATCGCCAATATTAATGTTGACGAGACAGATCAACACACATCTAATGAGAGCCAACCAGTCTCTCCGGAAACATCACCACTCTCATGTTCCGAGAAACAGTCAAAGGCCGTGCCTCATGCGGCCGTCGAAAATCCTTTAGTGGGCAAGGCAGGAAAGTCAGTTGAGTCGTCGACGCAGCATAATTCGCAAGATGGCCTACCTTCGACCCGCGATACAGACAGAGAGCTCGAAGAAGGAGGCCATGGACAGTTCAGAAACGGTGCTTCTTCAGATATCTCGGAACATCAGATTCCCGTGAGTCGAGTCACAACCGATGCCGATGGAAACACATATCCAGAAGGCGGTTTAGAGGCATGGCTGGTGGTATTTGGAAGTTTCATGGGTCTTTTTGCGTCCCTTGGTCTGGTCAACACCATTGGCACATTTCAGGCGTATCTTCAAGATCATCAGCTGAAAGAATACAGCCCTGGCAACGTGGGCTGGATATTTGGCGTTTACTCGTTCCTGACCTTCTTTTGTGGAGTTCAAATCGGCCCGGTCTTCGATGCAAAAGGGCCTCGATTTCTTGTTCTTGCCGGCTCTGTTTTAGTCGTGGTGATGATGATTGCCCTAGGGTTTTGCACCAAATACTGGCATTTCATGCTTGTGATCGGAGTCGCTGGAGGAACGGGAGCCTCTCTGATTTTCACGCCTGCGATATCCGCAGTCGGACATTTCTTTAACGAAAAACGCGGCGTTGCAACTGGTCTTGCTGCTACCGGAGGCTCTGTTGGGGGAATAGTTTTCCCACTGGTCCTGGAGACTCTCTTTCCCAAGATCGGCTGGGCATGGGCAACCCGTGTTATTGCCTTGATTTGTTTGATCTTGGTAATCGGATCCTGCCTGCTTGTGAAGTCGCGTCTGCCTAAGAAGCCGGCTTCCAAGGAGAACGTCCTCCCCGATTTTCGGATTTTTCGAGATGCCAAGTTCGCTTTCACAACAGCAGGCATCTTTTTCATTGAATGGGGCCTCTTTGTTCCGATCAGCTATATCTCTTCATATGCTCTAGCCCACGGGGTCTCTACAAAATTGTCATATCAAATGGTAGCTTTCCTCAACGTGGGCTCGGTCCTAGGAAGAGCGATCCCAGGATTCATCGCAGATTTTCTTGGTCGTTTCAATACACTGATTGTCACAGTGGCCCTCTGCCTCGTGTGCAACGCATGCCTCTGGCTTCCTGCTGGCGGCAACGTTCCTTTAATGATTGTTTACTGCGTGATATTTGGGTTCGCCAGTGGCAGCAATATCAGCCTTACCCCAGTATGCGTTGGACAACTCTGCAAGATTGAGAATTACGGGAGATACTACGCCACGGCGTATACCATCGTAAGCTTCGGGTAAGCTCATACTCTATTCGTGCCTGTTTTTGTATTTTTGACAACCTGATAGCTGATCGAACTTGCATTAGCACTCTCACTGGCATTCCAATTGCAGGCGAGATTCTCAGCCGTTGCAATGGAGAGTATTGGGGTCTAATTGTCTTTACAACTTGCTGCTATGCCATGGGTCTCGCATGCGTCACTGCCGCGAAGTTAATTCATGTTGGCTGGCGTCAACCATGGGTCGTCTACTGATCTGGTCTCAGTTGAATATTGCCATTGAGACTTCTGGCGACGCGCTTACACCCGACAAGATTACCAATGGATGCAGAGCAATTGCAGAGGAAAATTGATGGGAGTTGCGGAAGGACGAGACGAACCCAACCTACGAACTAATGTACACCCAATACGCGCCGAAAACAAATCGTGGGAATAGCTAATTCTCTGAATTGCGCGACTTGCTACCCTGCTGGCAACTTGTGCAAGATGATGATGAGATGATCCAGATGTGACGCCGGAAAGCTATTCCGGGCAGAAGTGAGCAGTTTCTGGAAACAATGTCACTGAACCAGGGAAACATAATAAAGGCCCGAACGTCAAGCCCACGTACCTGTTATTCGAAGGATGATCAATCCATTTGAGACGGACTTCATTATCTTTCTTACATGGGTTACCCTGACGAGCACGAATATTTGTGTCCCCATAATACCTTGAGACGAGCACATCCAGTTCTGGAAGCGCATCCACATCAGTTGTCGTTGAATTCGTTATATATCGTTGATTGAAGGCACGAGCGTCAGGATGATGGTCAGCTAAAGTGACCGTGGTTGCAATGCTCCGCCAAGTTCCAATAGGACGTCTCGAATCGAAGAACTGGGAGATTACCAACGTACTCATTCCACTGATATCCGATACCGCACGCTCGGTGGATGACATACAGCCCTCATCATATAACTCAAGGCTGGGTACATAATTGGTGCTTATCCTAAATCCTCCAGGTGTCTTCAAAGCATTCGCTGATTGAATAGCTGCTCATAACCCTGAGCCGTCCCTTTCTTCTTGGTTTCCCCCATTTCCTACTGTGGTTGCTCTGTGAACAAGATGCACACTGGGAGTCAGGTTCTGTCGCTCGCTGCAGCAGCATGGATGCTACTCCATGGTGCGGCAGCAGCTCCCAAACCCGGCCTGTTCCTACTACCAGCCCCAGAGGCCTTAAGATCGGCAGGTCTAGCCAGTGCAGCTTTCTCTTCATCCCTAGCTGCGCTTGCGACACCTGGAGTTGCCCCTGCATCTCATACAGTTACTGCACCGTCTGGAGGAACTGCTACTGAATCACCCCCAAGCACAGCGCCAACTGGAGGAGCTGCTACTCAATCACGTCCAGCTACTGCTCCGTCCGGAGGAGTGGCAACTGAGACTAATCTGGCCTCCACACCATCTGGAGGAGTTGCAACTCAATCACGTCCACCTACTGCTCCGTCTGGAGGAGTGGCCACTGAGACTAATTTGGCCACTACACTATCTGGAGGAGTTGTTGTAACTCAATCACGTCCAGCTACTGCTTCATCTGGAACAGTGGCTACTGAATCAACCCCAGTTATTTCCCCGTCCGGAGGAGTTGCTTCAACTCTCCGTCCGGTGGTTCCCTCATTTGGTGGAGGTGTGTCTGCCTCTCAGGGACCGAGACCCTCTTCTGCTGGGGGTGGCGTGCCTGGCAGTTCATCGACCCCCGTCATAGTCTCCACGCCTCCATCCCAGTTTTCATTTCCGCCTACGGTCGTGACGCACTCAAGCCTCACAGAGACAAGCTCTATCATGGTTCCTTTGGCACCTTCCCGTCCACCAGAAGCCTGTCCACCATGTCCTACTGCGGCAGCGGCTAGCTGTCCACCTTGTTCCGCTCCTACCGCACCAACCTGTGCACCCTGTCCTGCTCCTGGGACGACTACTGCTACTGTCACCGTCACCGTTACTGAGACAGTTTGCCCTGGTCTTCAGACTTCTCGAGGAGCAGGTGGCTCAGCCGCATCTCCAGGTGTTCCCCCCACTTCACCTCAATTCACTGCACCTGGGCCTGGCGCCCTAACTCCGACTGCCACAGGCACGGGCGCTCCAGAAGGTCCAAAGACGACAGAAACACCTATTTCGAGTGCTCCCCAGGCCTCTAGCGGAGGCGCAACCGCGAGACCTTCAACTCAGGCAGTGACTTCTGCTACTGGGGTTCCAGGTATTCCCCAAAGTCCTGGAGGCGGAGGCGTAACCGCGAGACCTTCAACTCAGGAAGTGACTTCGGCTACTGGGGTTCCAGGTGTTCCCCAAAGTCCTGGAGGCGGAGGCGTAACCGCGAGACCTTCAACTCCGGCAGTGACTTCGGCTACTGAGGTTACCAACATCCCACACGGTCCTGGAGGAGGCCCAATTGGGTTCCCCAACACCACTTTAACCCATGCTGTAGCTACAACTACGGAAACCATTATTTCAACTGTTCACCTCTCTACTGGCGGGGGTGGAGTTGCAACAACGGGTGCTGTTCAAACTTCCACACATTCTGTGATTACAGAAACCAGTTTCGCAAATGTCACACACACTGCCGGGGGCGGACCAACTGGGTTGCCCAGTGTGACCTCAACCCATGCCATACCTACGGGCCCTGGCGTCTCTAACGTCACTCATACTGTTGGCGGAGGTGTGACTGCATTATCATCCCAAGGAGCAACACCCACAGGCGGAGCAACACCATCAGGGGGAGTGATTCCAACAGGGGGAGTGATTCCAACAGGGGGGGTGATTCCATCAGGCGGAGCAGCACCCTCAGGCAGAGCCACACCTTCAGGGGGAGTGATTCCCTCAGGCGGAGCAGTACCCTCAGGCGGAGCCACACCATCAGGGGGAGTGATTCCAACAGGGGGAGTGATTCCAACAGGGGGAGCAGCACCCTTAGGCGGAGCCACACCCCCAGGCGGAGTAGTACCCTCAGGCACACCCTCAGGCGGAGCAGCATCCTCAAGCATACTGATTCCAACAGGGGGAGCAGCACCCTCAGGCGGAGCCACATCCCCAGGCGGAGTAGTACCCTCAGGCACACCCTCAGGCACACCCTCAGGCGGAGCAGCACCCTCAAGCAGAGTGATTCCAACAGGGGGAGCAGCACCCTCAGGCGGAGCCACATCCCCAGGCGGAGTAGTACCCTCAGGCACACCCTCAGGCGGAGCAGCACCATCAGGCGGAGCAGCACCATCAGGCGGAGCAGCACCATCAGGCGGAGCAGCACCATCAGGCGGAGCAGCACCATCAAGCGGAGCAGCACCATCAGGCGGAGCAGCACCCTCAAGCAGAGTGATTCCAACAGGGGGAGCAGCACCATCAGGCGGAGCCACATCCTCAGGCGGAGCAGCACCATCAGGGGGGGGTATTCCATCAGGCGGAGCAATTCCCCCAGGCGGAGCACCATCAGGAGGAGCACCATCAGGAGGAGCACCATCAGGAGGAGCACCATCAGGAGGAGCACCATCAGGAGGAGCACCATCAGGAGGAGCACCATCAGGAGGAGCACCATCAGGAGGAGCACCATCAGGAGGAGCACCATCAGGCGGAGCACCATCAGGCGGAGCACCATCAGGCGGAGCACCATCAGGCGGAGCACCATCAGGCGGAGCACCCTCGGGCGGAGGAATTCCACCAGGCGGAGCACCATCAGGAGGAGCACCATCAGGAGGAGCACCATCAGGAGGAGCACCCTCGGGCGGAGGAATTCCACCAGGCGGAGCACCATCAGGCGGAGCAGCACCACCAGGCGGAGCAACACCATCTGAGTCAGGAGGTGCCTCTACAGCTGGAAGACCCAGCGGAAGTACTAGCACTCTCACTTTTACCACCACCAGCCGAGTCGTTCAAACGATATCCATTCTTCCTAGCCGCCCTCCCCCTCCGCAAACACAGGGGAATACGGCTACATCTTCGGTACCCATGAACACAGAAACCGGAGCAGGGACACCGCAGCCCACTCCCGCTATTGATCCAAAGAAGCGGACAGTGGCAGAAGGGAGAGACCTCACCCGGCCCGATAAACTCAAGGCGAATCCTATTGTGTTCCGCCGTCGGACTTGAAAAATGTCCATCTTAAATTACGATCCAATCATCATACCATAGTTTGAGTGGGAAATGAGTCCGAAGTAACAGGTGGACTGTTTGTTCCTTTCATTCTTGGTGCACGTTCATCCAGTCCGCTTTGTCCTGCCAGATTATATAGGCTTTCGGTTATGCTAATTTGTTTGAAACAATCAAATGTTAAGGTCAGATCTAAACAGATAGTAATGAACAGCGTTCTCTAGAAAGTGGCGATCCAGTTTAAGCATCACAATGGACAGGTTGTGTGGAACAACAAGAAGGGGGTTTCGTCGCGATGTGATATTTCTGCATTTCTCCCTCGGTAATGACATTGTTATCAAACTGTTCGCAATTCGTACGTGCTAAAACAATTCTCGTAGTAGGGGAATCGGAAAGAAGAAGACACCGAGGCATACCAAGTCGAAGCCAGTAGACTTCTACGCAGTGACCTCACCTGTCCGAATTTAGAAATTAGATACAATACAAGTAGGATAGGAACGAAGAAACAGGGTTTCGACACAGACATGCATGAAACATAGGTGGTAGGTTTCGAGAGGATTGAGAAGAAAAAGAAGATCTCGTTTGGATAGTCGGAAATATGCAGCGAAAGGTAGGATTCTCACGGAGAATGCTACTCTCTCTCCGTTCGTCACATCAGCTGGCCCACATTGTCTTCATCTTAAGCCGCAGGTAAATGCGAAAATAAAAACCTCGCCAATGGATTCCTTGCGCCAGACACCTTACATAGAGCTTCAACAAATAAAGACCGAAATGGAATCAGGGTGTGATATGGGCAATGAGAGAGAAGAATAATGGCATTGCTGACACAACGCCAGCGACGAGCTTATGCAAAGCAGCGATGGATTTCGGGCATCAATGAGCAGAAAGAAGCATTTGAAGGCGAAGGATGGTAGATGGCTCGATAACAGAGAACGTTTCTACCAAGAACCATCTTCTTGGAAAAGAAGCGAAAGGCGGACCAATTTGCAAAGGCAAAGAACAAATCCTTGCAGGCTAGCAAATGATATGGGTATATGTTCGTATCAAGGCTGTTGACAGCATGAAAGCAGAAATGGGAAAGAAGTGTCTCTTCAAAACGTCTCACGAGCTGTTCGATCGTAGCAGGGCCTAAAAGTCCAATGAGCGATTATTTTCTCATACAGCAGTTCGAGAGCGATAACCACTGACCCGTTCCATGGCAATCTCATCGCCTTTTGCAGCCATGGGGCTCGAGAAGCCACGATGGATGGACCCTGAAGCTGTGATGGACCTTGTCTCCATACCAGGGCGCTTCCCTTCAGAGTGGTGAAGTTCGCCACTGCTGGAAAGTCGGGACTCCTTGCTTTTCTCGAGGAGCGAACCGCCCAGGGTTGCACACTTGAGGATTGTCTGCATCATTTGGTTTTGTTTCAGAGGTTTTGACAAGTATTCGTCCATCTGAGCCTGTATACACTTCTCGCGATCGCCCAGCATGGCGTGTGCAGTGAGTGCAATAATAGGTGTGCGAGAAAGACCGGCCTCTCGCTCATATTCGCGAATCTTACCAGTGGCTTCGAAACCGCCCATGACAGGCATCTGCACATCCATCAAGATAACATCGTAGCGACGCTGCTTGACGGCCTCCACCGCTTCCAATCCGTTGCCGACAACCGAGACATTATGGTTGTGCTTCTCCAGGATCTTGACCGCTAATTTCTGGTTCACGTCGTTGTCCTCCGCGAGCAGGATGTCAAATGACCGGGAATGATCGGTGGTGATTGGAGTAGATCGTCCTTCCAGAGCTGGCAGCATACCGTTGCCGAGGTCTATTGGTTGACATGGTGTGGTCATGTAGGAACTGATACCAAGATCCAGCGCTGACTTCAAGCTCACGCAAACAAGGGGACAGACTAAGACAATAGGGACATATTTGAAGTCATCATAGGTTCGTAATAAGCGAGCCGTGTCCACCGAATCCACGATTATAACATCATATGCGTGGCCCGATTCTTTGCCTGACGGATCCTGAATCTCTGGTGGTGGAACATGATCTTCGTCCCTCACTACTATAGGCTCCAGCTCGAGCTGCTTCAGCATCTTAATGATGTTCTCGGCCTGGAGACCGTTCTGGCCCTTGTCAATGAAGAGAACCCGGTGATGCTTATATGGCATGAGCTGTGACGCGATGACGTTCAAGGACTGATCGGCGAGCTTCACGACGCATGTGAAATGGAACGTGCTGCCATGACCGTACTCGGATGTAACCCACACATCACCGCCCATCAGGTTGACGAGTCGCTTGGAAATAGAGAGGCCGAGACCTGTACCACCGAATCTGCGTGTGGTGGATCCATCTGCCTGTTGGAAGGTGTCGAATATGAGATCCAGCTTATCCTCTTCAATACCAATGCCGGTGTCAGAGACCGAAAACTCAAAGGCATATTCGTTGGGCGCACATTGCTCTCGGTCTGACTTGCGAATCGTAAGCTTGACCTCACCATGCTCAGTAAACTTGATGGCATTGCCGACCAAGTTCAAAATGATCTGACGCAGACGGAAGGGATCGCCGATGACATAGTCTGGTACAGTATTGTCAACCTGATATGTCAGACTGAGGAACTTTTCGTTGGCCTTGACGGCCAGCGTCTTGAGAGCGTTGAACACAGTCCCCCTCACTGTGAAAGGAATGCTTTCAATGACCATCCGATTGGCTTCAATTTTGGAAATGTCGAGTATGTCATCGATGATTGTTAGCAAGCTGTTCGCCAAGTTGTGTACTACATTCAACATCTCGCGCGTGTAAGGCTTAAGGTCGTCAGTGTCTAGAGTGAGTTGTGTCATGCCTATGATGCCGTTCATGGGAGTTCGGATCTCGTGACTCATGTTCGCCAGAAATTCGGACTTGGTACGATTCGCCAGCTCAGCTGCCTCCCTGGCAGCAGTGTTTCGCTGAATACTGTCTCGGAGATTGGAGACCATCTTGTTGATCTTGCGCTTGAGTTCGTCCATCTCTCCAGAAGCGTTGACGGTGATGAGCTTAGTGAAATCGCCGTCGGTTGCAGCATCGGTGATCTCACCAAACGCACGCACCTGCGAAGTCAGGTTCTCAGCCATTGTATTGACATCCTCCGTGATCTCCTTCCATGTTCCAGCAATCCCCTCCACATTGGCTTGACCGCCCATTTTTCCGTCCACGCCGACATCGCGAGCGACCTTTTTAAGCTCAGTTGCGAATTTCGCGAGACGATCCACCATGTGATTGATCGTGACCTTGAGAGTCAAGATCTCTCCTTGAGCGTGGACTTCGATCTTCTTGCTGAGGTCACCCTTCGCGATAGCCTGCGTGACGTCTGAAATACTTCGGACCTGGGACGTCAAATTCTGGGCCATGGTGTTGACGTTGTCTGTGAGATCCTTCCATTTGCCTTCCACATTGTCAACCTTGGCTTGGCCGCCGAGGGTACCATCTGTGCCGACTTCCCTGGCAACTTTGCTCACTTCGAAGGCAAAAGTATTCAGCCGGTCGACCATGCCATTGATGGTGCTCTTCAGATCTAGTATTTCACCCTGAACGTTGGCCGTGACCTTCTTGGTCAGATCACCTTTTGCGACGGCGGTTGTGACATCGGCGATCTCCCTGACCTGGGTGGTCAGGTTGTTTGCCATTCGGTTGACATTCTCAGTCAAGTCTTTCCACGTGCCTTCCACATCATTGACGGTGGCCTGGCCACCTAGAACGCCATCTGTACCGACTTCCTTAGCAATCTTGGTGACCTCCTGGGCGAACTGCCGCAGCTGGTCCACCATGGAGTTGATAATATTCTTGAGCTCAGCGATTTCTCCTTTGCAGTTGGCTTGAACCTTCTGTGTCAGATCGCCCTTGGCCACAGCCTTGGTGACAGTTGCAATGTCTCGCACTTGTGTTGTCAAATTGTTTGCCATGGCGTTGACATTCACAGTCAGCTCATTCCACATGCCTTGGACGCCTTCAATCTGAGCCTGGCCACCCAGGACACCTTCCGTACCGACATCACGAGCGACACGGGTGACCTCCGTTGCAAATGTGCGCAGTTGATCGACCATGGTGTTGATGGTCTGTTGCAGTTCCAGGATTTCACCCTGAGCACGGCTTTCGATCTTCTGACTGAGATCGCCATGGGCGACAGCGGTCGTCACCGCCGCAATTTCACGCACCTGATCAGTGAGATTCTTGGCCATGATGTTGACGTTCTCCGTAAGCTCCTTCCAAATACCGTGAACCCCAGTGATCTGAGCCTGTCCACCAAGGATACCTTCTGTGCCGACCTCTCGGGCGACTCTGGACACCTCACTACCGAAAACCTGCAGCTGGTCCATCATGGTGTTGATCGTGCGCTTGAAAGTGGCGATTTCAGGGTCCATTTCGAGGGGGTGAATCTGCACCTTCATGGACAAGTCACCATTCGCGACCTGTGTGATGATGCCACCAATTTCCCGAAGGGCTTTCTGGAAAGCCTCGTTGGCTTGCTGGTGCTTGCGTAGCTCGCGTTCCAACAGGACCACATCTTCATTCTCAACCTTGGTCAGAGCCCGTCGAGTGTGCTCCTCCTGCTGCAGCAGCTCGTCACGAACTTGAGCGATGATGTCTTTTTGAAAGCTTATTTCCTCCGCCTGTTTCTGTACATGATTCCGCAGATAACTGATGTCTTCCTCGCGAACTAGTCGAGTCCTCGAGTCCACATCGTCATCTCCATCACTATCGTCGTCATCGAGTGCCTCATCGGCTTCATTGTCTTCCGCTTCACGGCGGTTTCTCCTTGTTCTCTGGCGACGTCGTGAAGTTTCCTGCTGCATGGCGCAAGAAGAGTTAGAAGCAACTCCTTCATGAGAGGACAGGCGAGAGAGCCCGAAAAGCCACAGAAAATCAGAATCCTTGGTGGAAGACAAAGGTAATTCGGGAAGAGTTCGGGGGTATGGTTGATGACTGACAATTTGAAACTCTAGATGGCGAACACGTCGAATCAAAGCCTCCAACTCATTTTCAAATGCTGCCTTTGCTTGGCTAGGTTCTCCTGGCAATTTGGCGAGATTCGCATCACAGCCATTGGTAGTTGTGTGGGAAGAATTCAGTTCGGGGTCTCTGGCCAGGCTCTGAAGAATGGCAGAGGCGGCTGCGAGCGTCTCGTCTGCGCCAGCCATTGTGCCTGTTATCACACAGTCAATATTGGGACATAAGGATAGCCAATTGGCAGAATATCGTGTTATGAATGGGCTGAAAAATAAGTCGAGGGACGAAGGTAAGAAGGACGATTTTCGATAGAGAGAAAGGTGGGTGGAAAAAAGGGCGATAAAAAGGGATGAGGCGTGGAAGAAGAGGCCTAAAGTCGCGAGGGCATGGAGGCAAATCAAGCAGAGGAAGAACACAGAGGTGAACGAGAAGAAAAAAAAAAAAACTAGAATAATAGGTCAAACAGAGATAGCAAGCAGAGCTAGGCGGGCTTGCTACACAGTGGAATTGAGGCAAGAAAAGGAAAAGCGGATAAGGCTGTCGACTCCTTGAAGGGAAGATGTGACAGTTGAGGGAAGGAAGGAGATGAAGCGATAATCATAAGCGACAATCATAATAGGAAAAAGCTAACACAGGTCGATCCGAATGACTTGGAGACTTTCAAGGCTAAGCAAACGATGAACTTACCGGACGGAAAGCCGTGTTACTGACACGAAGAACCAGGCAAATTTGCTAGGACGACATGGAGTGTTCGTCTTGTGAATCAAAAAAATGAGATGAGATGAGATGAGATGAGATGATATCTCCTGCTTGACTGATAGAGTGGTCCAACTACTCTGCGGATTGATTCCCTGGGATTTCTGGACAGGACAGGACAGGACAGGGCAGGCCAGGGGAAGGGGAAGGTGATGGGATTTGGAGATCACGCAGACAGACAGACAGACAGACACGCAGAGGGAAAAATACGGGGGTTTGTGACGCGGAGCAAAAAAAAAAAAAGTTAGGTTGGTAAGGGGAAAACAAAGCCAGTACGGAGTAGTGGGGGAAAAATACAGCGACGAAAGGGGGGAGGCGATTTAGTTGTCAGATGGAGGATCGCAGGCGAGAAGTGGGAAAGAAAAAGGGACAGGGACAGAGAAGAATGGATCTCATAGTTAAAAAAAGATATATCAAAAATGATAATAATATCCAACATTCAGTATCAATGAGGATGAGGACGAGGAGGAGCCTCAGCCTCGTCAGACTATCAGTGTGCGTGGAAAGAGAACAATGATCATAATACCTCGAGAGCAGAAGGGAGCCTGAGGGCATGGGAGCCTGGGAGGGGACAGGAAGAGGAGGGAGAGGAACTGGTCAACTGAGGGGGTCTATCAGTATGGCAATAATGATGTGATTGGATCCTGCGTGGTTTTGGCCTCTTTGGCGTCTTTTCATGGGGGGTGGGAATGGGATGGATATCTGAATGGATTTAGCGTCTTAGCTTAAGAGATCTAGGGAATCCCCAGTGAAAAATCCGGCTGCGATTCATTATTGGACTTGAGATTACGGAGAAATCATCAGGTCCCAGTTACCGCAGGGAATAGATACCTAGGGACGGACAGATGAGTGTCATACCTCAGTAAAATTTAAACTCATCACACTTCTCATTTATGGGTGAGGAATACGTGTTCCTTGACCTAGTAGAAGCTGCCTGTTGATATCAAGAAAAGCAAGGTAGTAAGTAGTTTTTATGCCAGCACAGTTCCTGTGAATAATACCAATAATACCAGCAAATCCGGGCAGTAAAATACCTTATGCTAAAGGTACCATTAAAAATCTGCATGGAACCGCGCCACAATCACTCCCCGGGGTCTCAAGAGGTTCAAGGCTACCTTATTATTCAAGCCGGACTTCCTCAAGGCTTCATCCTTTATGTGCCGGTAATCATATTTTACTCCTTTAAACACACTACCTATTTCAAGTAGTAGTGAAATTGTGGTGGATTACAAGGATGGTTTACATTGTACTGATCTTCAATTTCAGCCACAGCCACGGCCACAACATGTAGGTAGTTACCTACTAAGAGGAACTGCGACGATCACCCCCCAAACCCCATCTGTGTCTCCAGTTGGTTCTTCAGCTAGAGTTCAGTCCGTTTTTGGGCTACCACACTCTACTTTATCGTCGGGACGGTGAGTAGGAATGGTCGAGTATACGAGGTATCTACCTAGATAATGCTCGAGAATTCATATTAAATGAGGACAAGCACCTGGGGAGGTACTAGTAGATAGATATCGGCCTATCCGCTCCTTTGTTCTTCTCATGGTTCTTGCCGATAACCAAACCAGCCCAAGCTCGCTTGACCGAATTTTACCAACCAGTGCGACCACTGGCACTAACTATCCATCTACATATCGACATGTTGAGGCGAGTCAGCTCTGTCTCATTCAAGCTACTCATTCGAGCTCATAGCTATCATTCAGAAACGGCAAGTTCCCCAGCTTGAAGTCCTCTACTTGCATATCGCGAATCTATATGTCTGTGTAATAATGCTCATTCCATGAAATTCTTAGAATATCATGCTCTGTACGGATAGGGGAGACCCACTAGGTAACCCAAGGTACCCTACCCATCCATAAAATTATCCGAGCCAATCAGCATTGTAAAATTGCTTGTGAAGGGGCCAAGGGGCCCCATTGCACTATTCCTGACTGGGCCTACACGAAGCGTCCAAAGTCGAAACTCGCGGCGAAATACTAAGGTAGGGTTGCCTAGTCAGGTAAGGTAGGTTCGCTGCCTATCTAGGTACTTTTGCCCGAATAAATTAGATAATCATAAGTGTAGACACATGGACGTGGCCTGAGGTGTCCATACGAGTCCCAAAATTCTTGAGATCTACCTTAGGAATGCCTAAGGTATAAGCATGTAATATCTCAAATCTCCTTCTTCGCAGAGGATCGCGAGAGTGGCTGGAAGATACGACACCCTTCAAATATACTGCTGTCCTCCGTATGATCCTGCTGGCACCTTGGAAGTCGGACCTTGTAACTCTGCATTAATTTAGATTGTCCTGTTAGGAATCCAATCGGAAGTGAGCAGCATGAAGTCCTGCGTTGTCTTTGTCTTACTTGCTCGCCTGATCTATCCATAGCTACTTATCTACGAGGTTGTGCATACCTACTACTTCCTCTGGCCTCATTGCCAAGTCATTTCTTTGAGTGATGACTGATCCATCTTGTGCGATGCCCCAATTCCTGTTTCTGGTCCCTCAATTCCTGCCAAGGCACGAGTCCGACGTTTTCGATAGATTGTTCCCTGTATCGATCTCCAAGCACCATCAAAGTCATTGGATAACGCCCAAAATACCCTTTTCAATCGAAAGTATGACCCGTCGGAATTTCAAGTCAATCCATGGGAGGAAATAGAGCAATCAAGTCGCCCCGAAACGCTTCGGACGGATCGCCTTCATACCAATGGTCGGGAATGACTGTGCCTTGGAAATTCATTGCATCCCCAGAGCACTCGCATTATCCAGCAAGATCACGAGAACAAGGCTGTCAACCAGCTGAGACGGGGGCTAGATCAGTCTGTGCCCCAGCTTGTAGGGATGTCGCTTTTCAAGCATTCTGCGGAATGCGTACGGAGTAGCGGGATAATTACGCCATGGTCGATCCTTGTCTCATATAGGCTAGAGAGTAGAGACACAGGATGCTAGGCATAAATCAGTACCTCTCTATGCAGGAAGATGATATCATGGATTCCTGATCATCTAAGGATGACAACGGAACTCAGATGCGGGATGATTGATGTTGATGCACAAGACTAGGTCAAGACTTATGCTGGTGATGAGTAATTGTGATGACGGCGGGGTAGTTGGAAAGAATCACGTGAATGCATCTATGGTCTGAACCGTCTCCCGTAAGAGTGCCCGAAAAGAGTCACAATTTAGTAGTGATTGATATCCCAGAGTTCTCGTTACGGTTCCCGCCGCGCACTTCTTTCTCTGGGCCTCAATTATCTTCTCCATACATTCTCTGTGGTCTCTACGGCTGCAGCCATGGCGTCCGATTTGACAAACCCCATCCTGGACGCCCTGTCCGCGTCCGACGGCCCAATCCTCTCCGACGAAGCCTTCCCCTCTACCCCCTCACTGAACATTAAGAGTGCGCTCGACCGTCTAGCCTCGCGGAACATGGTCGAATATGAAACAATGGAAAGGGAAGCCATTGCTTTGACCCAGGAGGGCGAGGAAATCGCCGCCAATGGCAGTCACGAAGCCAAGGTCTTCCAGGCCGTATTGGCCGCCATGGACGGATTGAAGATCGGTGACTTGCCTGGCATCGTCGGAAAGGAGAACGCCAAGGTCGGCCAGGGTAACGCCTTCAAGAAAGGCTGGATCAAGAAGGACAAGGATGTGTTGCGGGCGAACACCGAGTCCATCGTCGACGAGACTCAAGAGCAGCTGTTGACCGTCAAGAACACCCAGACCCTGAACGACCAGAAAGCCATCACGGACCTCAAGCGTCGGAAATTGATCGCTCTGCAGAAGGTCATTACCTTCCGGATTTCAAAGGGCCCCAAGTTCGCCAAGGAATTCGTCAAGGAGGAGACTGATCTGACGGCCGAGATGCTCGCAAACGGATCGTGGAAGACGGCCACGCTGAAGCCGTACAACTTCAAGGCCAAGGGTGCTCCTACCCCGGCCGGTGCCTTCCATCCCCTCAACAAGGTGCGACAGGAGTTCCGGAATATCTTCTTTGAGATGGGCTTTGAGGAGATGCCCACCAACCGCTTCGTGGAGACGGGATTCTGGAACTTCGACGCCCTCTACGTCCCTCAGCAACACCCCGCCCGTGATCTTCAAGATACCTTCTACATTGCAGACCCTGCCACCGCCGACCCTCCCCGTGAGGATCCCTTGAACGACCCCCACCGTCCGAAATCCGTTCAGCCCGCCTCCGCAGCGACCTCGGAGAAGCCCCTCGACTACAAGGAGTACTGGGATAACGTGCGCCAGGTGCACGAGAACGGCAAGTACGGCTCGATCGGATACCGCTATCCCTGGAACGCAGACGAAGCGCTTCGCTTGGTTCTCCGTACACACACCACCTCGGTGTCGACCTACGTCCTGCACAAACTCGCCGCAAACCCGCGGCCGGCAAGGTACTTCAGTATTGACCGAGTCTTCCGTAACGAGGCCGTCGATGCTACCCATTTGGCCGAGTTCCACCAGATTGAGGGTGTCATTGCTGACTTCGGTCTCACCCTGGGTGGCCTGATTGGATTCATGGAGGTCTTCTTCGCGAAGATGGGTATCCACCAACTGCGCTTCAAGCCGGCCTACAACCCCTACACCGAGCCCAGTATGGAGATCTTCGGTTACCACGAAGGGCTGGGCAAGTGGGTCGAGATTGGAAACAGTGGTATGTTCAGACCAGAGATGTTGGAGCCCATGGGTATTCCCAAGGACATGAGAGTCTACGGATGGGGATTAAGTCTTGAGAGACCAACCATGATCAAGTAAGTTCTGCTGTACTTTTCTCTGAGTTCTTGAACTGACGTGCTATCGCAGATACGGAGTGAGCAATATTCGAGAACTTCTTGGTCACAAAGTCGACCTCAACTTCATCGAGACCAACCCTGCCGTGCGACTGGAGAAGGACTAAGTGGACAAAGGGTGTGGTCGATGTGTAGGAGATATTACGGTAACAGAAAATAGCATTCATCTAGATATCCTTGATCCCTTTTAGAGTCATCGAAAACAGACACAAAACGTTACAATCTTCTTCTACGGGTTACGAAATGATGCATGATCATAAAGGAATAGAACAATGAAGCACTTCCGGTTAATTCAAAACCATTCCACTTCTCTAAATCTAAAATGTAGGACTGCATATGTAAGAAGCACACGAGGTATGGAATGTCCCACCCGTATCTGTGCCCCAGCACATGTTCTTTGCAACAGTGGCTCTTCAGTAGGCGGATCCTGATATTCGGCTGGATGATTACTTTCTACCTCCTCGCTCATGGGATGGAACCGGATGCTTATCTGTCCGATACTCAATCCGATTCCGTGGACGAGGAAGCCTTGATGTGCCGGATGCGATGGAAAGAGAAAAGAAAAAAAAGGAAAGAAACTACGGCAATGAAACCACTGATCCTGAACAGGCTTGTCGGTATCGCGATGCAGCAGGTCCAATGGACTAATCACGGCAAGAACATGGAAGGGAAGCTATGGGGATCCTATGAATGGATGGATTGACTCGATTGAATTGGATGAAATTTCTTTAAGTCTTCATTGACTCATGGCAAAGAAAATGATTTTGGAACATCAACTCCCCGACGTAACTCGTCTAATAGCACGTCTTTTTCCTATCCGCCCCAGCATCCAAATCAGCATGCGAGTTCGGATCATGATTCGACAGATGCAGCACTTACATCCAAGCAAGCCGTCAGGCACCGCAAACACCAGAAACAGAGACGCCTCGCATTTACCGCTGGCGGCTGGCGGTCCACACGTTGCGGACGTAGCCATCACGCTGGGTGAGGCGGTTCAGGGAGTCATCGCTCTCGCCACGGGCACGGATGAAGCCGCAGAGAGCGTAGGTCTGGTTCTCGCCGGTGTAGCGACCGTTCTCGTCAACCTTGCCGATGGAGATCTGGACGGAGGCGTGGTCGTTGGCCTTGATGATGCGGTTGGTGGCGCTGCACTTGCGGGGGACGTAGCTGTAGGAAAGGAGAGATGGGTTAGTCGTGTGCTTTTTGCAGAATTCAATGCTTTTGACTCTCAATCATCTCCTGCTCTTGCTGGTTTCCGGAAGCCGGGAAAAATCTCTGCGAAAAAAGGGCGGTCCTGCAACAGTCGCTTGTAGGCTGAAAGCTCACTCCAAGTTGTCCTCTTGTCGTTTTGTGCATTGTCCCAAGTCGCAAAGTCATTCTCGGCTCCCGGACCACCGCAAAACCAGTTCAAGTTCAAACAGCGAAGGAAATTAGTAGTCACGTACAGATCGACGATCTCTCCCTTTTCGTTCTCCATTTTGGCGTTTTGATAGAGTGCTTGAGGTCGACGACGGTGAGGAAGACGGAGGTGCGCTGGCGGGTTCAACTGGCGGACTGTCGTGAAAATGTTGAATCGAGCGGGTTGTGTGGGTCATGTGATCCTTTATCGAGGGCTGTGGTTTTTCTCTGTGGCGGTGCTTGTGCTGTGGCGTGTGTGGCATGCTGTATCTTAACGAACAATACCAAGGTACTAGACCCAAAGTGGGATAGCGCTAAATGCCTCAGGCTCTTCACCAGTGAACTTCACACTTTGCTCTTTCTGTATGATGCTATGCCATGCCCTGCGTCCCTACAAACTGCTCTTCTCCTGCTCTGCAAATACGTCCTTCTTCCATCGAACGTCGAGTTTTCGAGCAGCCCCCTGCTTGAACTGTACATACACCACCCGATCCGGCTCCCCAGCCCGATTTGTGCCCTTCAACTCCGGTCCGGGATGATCTAATGCTAACACAGCCCGTCCATCCGAGGACATCTTGAGCATCTTAGGAGAGATGCATTTCTCCGTCCAGGGCGGTGTTCCAGAATGGGCAAACTCCACCAATTCTGCTCGTCGATTTCTCAGCTCCTCGAGCGAAGCCGTCGCTCGCGGTTCCTTGTCAAGGAAGTGCGACACTAGATGTAACAGAAGAAACTGCGGAGGGAACATGATGATTTCGCCGCTTTGAGCCCTCCGCAGCCATTCTGCTGCAGGCAGGAACATGGCCTCTGTTACTTCGATTCCGCCATCGCTCGTAGGAACTTGAATTTCTTCCCGTTCGCCTTCGGCAGGAATCTCGTTCAGTACTGACTTGTCTGACTCAACTGGAAGAGGTAGGAAGTAGAGATACATCTGTGTCGAGTAACGTTTGGGGACATTCGTAGGGGTAATCCATCGTGTGAACGGGATCAAAGGCTCTGTAGCTTCATCAGCTGAACTTGGTCGGTACTCATCGAACGTCTTAAGAACCGCTCACCTATATCCGGTACTGCAGCAGCATCCTGCTTCTTCAACCACTCAGCAAACGTCACCTCATGCTGATGGATGGCTCGTCTTCCTTTTTCTCTCTCTGCCTCGGGTACAGCTAGCATTACGCCTGTGTTCTGGTCTCTCGCTAGCAGGATACCGCTCTCCTCGAACAGTTCCCTCACGGCTGCATTGCGGTACCACGGCGCATCCTCGTGCCTCTTTGGATCCTCTGCAGCGGGACATTCTCCGTCCTGAGCAGACAGATTCCCTCCAGGAAATACATGTGCCGAGGCAAATGAAGTCGATGTCTTGACGCGGTGCAGTAAGAGGACTTCATTTTTGGGCGAGATGAGTATGACGCTGCCGCATGTTAGCTGTAGACTTGCAAGGTATGATCGTTTCGATCAAATCAAGCTCTAAATTCACATCACGAAAAGAGCATATTATGTACTAACCTTGAGCTAGGCCTGGGTATCGCCGGCGTCGCCTTGGACCGGTCACCCTTTTTAGCTGCCATTCTGCGCGGTTCAATGGACTGCGATGATTCCAGCGTAGAAGAGAAGTTTCTAACGTCGAGTCTTGCACGTTGACAGGAGCAATGTACCGGTACTTGTATACACCAGGAGCGTGGACCTCGGACCAAGCTTAGCCGACGGTCGAACGATTGGCCAGATCTGCAGATGAACCGGGAAGTCGAGCTGAAGGGCCCAGGGAGGAATATACTCATGGCCATGAGAGACGAGCGCCACTGAAGGCGCGTTATGGCCCTGCTTCTTTTAGAAGTATCAAGGAACAGTTGGTCCAACTTGGAAGGGTTATTATGGTGTATAGGTTGTTTCCGGGGATCTGTAACCTTGGCAATGGCGGATGGAACCTAGGCTTCTTCTGCTTTACCCCGCGCGATGCTCCTGCAGGACGCATCAGTATGCCATGTGGTCTCCAAGGCAGTACCCATGTCTACCTATCTACAGCTGGTATCTAGTCTAATGAGAATGACTCATGAGAGTCTAAGGTCAACAAGGATAAGTAAGTTGGATATATTTTAGGATTTTTTTTTTTTTGATTCATAAATGAACTGCCTGATGGCAAGCACAATTACTTCGAACAGTAACATTGTGGTTGAACAAGAAAATCATCCGAAGTGCATTCCACGTCAAACTCCAAAACCATCATGCCCATTTTTATTCTCATACCAAGCGTGTATCATCATGTGAACAGAGCCTGATTGACAAGTCCTGAGAGAAGAGACATAAAAAGAAATTACGCTTTTTTACATCCAACAAAGCCCTTACGAATAGAGCTTCTTGTCGTAGCTGTGCAGACCGTGGACGTTACCCTCGGCCATGGCACTAGCGCTTCTCATCTCGAAACGAACAATGCCCTTGTCGACACCGTCGTGGAGCTCGTCAAGGCTCTTGACACCAATGTCTTGCAGAGAGTGCTGAACACCCGCAACAAGGTAAGGAACAAACTTGGTGACCGAACCACGGTCGAGAACGGAACCAGCGACACCCTGAGCGACGAGCACACGGTCCTTCTCGGAGAAGTAACGGGCAGTACCAGCGTTGCTGGCTTTGCTGTCCTTGCCACCAGCACCGGCCTTCTTGTCCTCCATGGCAGCGATACTTCCCATGCCACGGTAGGCCTTGACAAGCTGGCCTTCATTGCTCACGAAGTATTCACCGGGAGACTCGGTGGTACCGGCAAGGAGACCTCCCATCATAACGGTGGAGGCACCCATGGCGAGACCCTTAACGATGTGGCCAACGTTCTGGATACCACCGTCGGCGATGCAAGGAACACCGAAGCGGGCAGCAAAGGAAGCGACGCTGCGAACGGCAACGGCCTGGGGACGACCGACAGCCATGACTTCCTGGGTGATACAGGCACTGCCGCTGCCCATGCCAATTCTCAGGCCATCAGCACCGGCAGCAATCAAAGCTGCGGCTTGTTCCCGAGTGACGACGTTACCGGCGATAACGTCAATCTCGGGGAATGTCTTCTTCACCCACTTGATCATCTCAATCTGGTAGATGCTATTACCCTGGCTGCTGTCGAGGATGACAATGTCAAGACCAGCCTCGACGAGAAGCTTGAGTCTGTGCTTATCCTCCTCACGAGTGCCAATCGCAGCAGCACAGATCAGCTGTTTCGAGTCGGGGAGCTTGGATGCCAAGGGGTAGTGGAGGTTCTTCATCAGATCACTGCGAGACAGCAAAGAGACGAGGTTTCCGTTTGCGTCAACGATGGGAAGCTTTCCCTTCTTGGAGCTACGAAGAACGTCGTTGGCCTCGGCCAGAGTGGTGCCGGCAGGTGCGGTGACAAGGTCGGTGGACATAATTGCGGTGACAGGGTCCTCGAGGTTGGTGTGAAATTGGATGTCTCTGGATGTGACCATACCGACGAGCTTGGAGCGAAGAGTTCCGTTTTCTGTAAAAAGAATCACGAATTAGACACTGGTTTGCAAACAGTAATTGTGATCAAGAAGTCATTATGCGTTGTCGTTTTCAGATAGAATCGTTTCTCTACATCGCAACTCTCGTTGCTCCAGTGGAACGAAAGTTATAAGAGATAGATGTAAAATCATCATGTAGGAGGTGACGGCTGGGAGAAAGGAAAATTGTGCAACTTACCAGTGACGGGGAAGCCTCCGAAGCCCCACTTGGCCTTGAGCTCCTTAGCCTCTCCAACGGTGGCTTTGGGAGAGAGAACGACAGGGTCCAAGATGAAGCCGTTCTCGTATCTCTTGACCTTTCTGACCATCTCAGCCTGATCCTCGGGGGAACAGTTGTGGTGGATGACACCCAGACCACCCAGAAGAGCCATGTGGATAGCCATGTTGTGCTCGGTGACGGTGTCCATGGGAGAGGAGAGAAGGGGAACCTTCAGCGAGACACGCTTGGTGACAGGGGTATCAAGAGTGACATCGGAAGCAGGAAAGCCTGTCATAATCATGAACAAACGGTCCTTTTATGCAAAGGTCGAGTTTCCACGGTCTTACCAATGTAACCAGGCAGGATCAGGAAATCATTGTAAGTCAATGCTCCATGCTTGTCCGAATCGAGCAGAGTATCAACATCAAGGCCGTCTCTGGTAGTGTATTCCTTTTCCAGGACCTCCAGGGCCTTGGTGTAATCCTGAATCTCTGCCTTCATGGCGCGGCCGAGGGAGTCACCGTTGGCGATTGGCATTGTGTATATAATGAGAAGACTCTACGGTTTCTATCGTAACTCGCAGAGACGGGGTATAAGATCCAAATAATCAACAGATCGACGATAGAAACGTTCTGTTGATGGAGAAAGTCTTCCTTTCCCAAAGAAAAGAAAGAAAGAAAAAGAGAGAAAAACTCGAGGGAAAAAAAATTGCCTTTTGACTGTCTGCCGCACAGGCTAATCCCAGCCGGTATTATACCGGAAAGGGTATAGTCAGGGTGGTAATTGCGGAGCCTGTTATTCTGATTGGCTTTTTAACGAGAACTTTTAAGGCGGTGAGATTGAGGGGCGACATATTGCTTGATAATCGCATTTGATAACCTGCGATAGTCGGACTCGATGTGAAGATTCTTCCAGTGGAGGACTTGAAGGATTGTATGGTGTATACTGGGCACCAGACTTCCGCTATACATGATTGGACTTGCTCTAATGGTTAGAGTCTCTTCGATATCTGGTCATGTAAACTAGGCATGTATTGCAAAATAGCTGCTGGTGTCAAAATACCTGCGAGTGGGTGCCGCTGTGATGCACCGAGCCATAAAGTACCTATGCTTTAGCTCAGCTTGGCTGTGACAATCTGTCTAGATCACTGGATCCACGAGTAGTCGTCATATTTGTCTGGACATATCAGCCAGGAAGGGTAGTCGTGCACAAGACATTGGATAACAATGTACCTAGATCGAATGATAACGACATGCATCGCTTTGCTCCCACATACTGTTCACAGATAGAAGAGCCCCAAAGTCTCTGATCATTGAGGTACTAATCCATGGTAGACTGAATCTACGCTTGATTGTATATCTATTACATAGCCGATTTGCGACAAGATGACGCCAGAGTGACAGCAAAAACTAGGGACTGTGGTACTTAAGAACTAGCAAGGTTGGTGCCTACTCAACCTTCCGATGCGAAGACTCAAACAACCTTTCACTCGTCTACATCAAGCTAGCAGAGCACTTCGAAATGACATCTCAGATGGGCAAGGAAGGTGCTTTTCAAGCGCCTCAGGCACCGCAAAGTCAGAAGAAACCGGGGTCAGTATTTCGTCCCTGCTTGTGGTATCAGAGCTGTGACCCTTGACGACTCCGGTATTAAGGGCATGATCATTAGGCTCGAAAAATATATGGTTCCTCCCAGCGAAGCGACGAAACTCGAGTCAAGCGGTCACTTTGTTGAGTATAAAGGCTCTGGCAAATTAGAGGGCAAAAAGGTCCTCATCACAGGGGGGGAGTATGTCCATCATCTTGAGGAGCGCTACTCAGTGAACAAGACTGACCAGCGTATAGCTCAGGGATCGGTCGAGCTGTTGCCATTCTGATGGCACGGGAAGGGGCCGATATCACTATTGTCCATCTTCCCGAAGAGAGAGATGACGCCGAAGAAACCAAGAAAGCCATTGAACTCGCGAAGAGGTCATGTCTACTTGTCGCTGGGGACCTCAGGGATCACAACATGTGTCGAAGGGCCGTGGAGGAGCATATGAACGCGTAACCATGGGTCTTTTGTCCCTCGTCATATATAACACCGACTGATTCGAGAGCAGGTTCCAGAGACTAAACGTTCTGATCAACAATGCCTCAAAACAGTATATGTCTAAGAACTTCGCTGATATCGACCTGGATAAAGTGGAGGATATCTTCCGGACCAACATCATCCAGATGATGGCTCTGACGAAATATGCTCTGCCATTCCTGTCAAAGGGTGACTCGTTAGTATCCTTCGATCTGCAGTGTGCGCAATTAACTCATCGTTCTTGTATCAATAGCATTATAAACACCACATCTGTCGTGACCTTCCGAGGTTCAAGCAGTATGGTAGACTATGCGGCCACCAAAGGTGCCATTGTCGGGTTCACCAGATCTCTAGCGTCTCAGCTGCTTCCCAAGGGTATTCGAGTGAATGCTGTTGCGTGAGTAGCCCAAGAGCTGAGCTCTTTCACATAATGCTTAGCTAATCGCCTCGTTTAACAGCCCTGGTGCAATCTACACCCCAATCCAGGCCGACACCAGGGACGCTGAACAAATGGCCAACTGGGGCTCAAAAACTCCCCTAGGTCGACCGGGCGAGCCAAGTGAAGTAGCGACTACTTTCGTGTTTCTCGCCAGTGCCGATGCTTCCCTTTACTGTAAGTGCGCCTTATGCTTCTGGCTCCGGTTTTGGATGAGGACGATTCTCAACTCTGTACAGATGGGCAGATCATGCATTGTTATCCCTTGGGTGACTGAAGAGATGGATCCCTGAGTAGAGCTTGGACATGTCAAACCTAGCCTGCATCGTATTTCAACTCCTAATTTCAATATAAAAGCCATGGTTTCGCCTGTGAGATCGCCTTGTCCCACCTACCCTCATTCGTCCAGACCGCAATACTTTCAACCTCGTCTTTTCCCAGCTTCAGCCCGTTGTACAGATGCTGGGGCAATCAGCAGATATTCCAAAGGCCTCAATTATTAAGCAGTAGATCACAAATGAATCAAGGAAAATGCCGAGATTGCGTCTTGTAGGGAAAGGATAGAACCTACCGGGAAAAGGCCTTCATCGGGTCGCGGCCCACAAACCTTTGCATCTGGCGACTCCCATCTGATATCGGGCATGACTTGATCGAATTCTATACGCAGCACATAAACTAGCGGCTCGTCCTTGAAGAAGCATTTCAATGTGTTGGGAACCTGCAAGGCGGTTGACAGATGGATAAAGCCCGACTCCTGGTCGAGTTGGCTGACGGGCAGGCGCTCAGGAAGTGGCTCCCGGACTGGGGACGTGGAGGGAACCAGTTTGTAGAGGTAGTATGGTAACGATTCTGTCATTGTGTGACCGTCCTGATGGATTCTCTTTGGTTCTTATAGTTCATAAGCAGGTAAGTGTTGAGTATCCAGAAGATTGGTGTTCAGTGTACAATATATTTTGGTCCGACGGACAGGTGGGGTCTCTTACCATTGGTTCTCCGGTGGATAATGTCACCGATGGGTAATAGACTCAACTCTGCAATCTCTCTATTGATTTTCTAGCTATTATTCTACATGGAAGTACGAGTTCTAGTCAGAAGATGAGATATCGTCTGAGGAGCTAAAATGCGGGTCTTCTACGTCTTTGTTCGATGGTGACCTAGGTCGCAGACTCGTCCATATGAAACGCGCATCTTTTTGACAAACAAGCAGGAGTCCAGAGCGTCTACACGGTACCCTGCTACAAAGCGATTCTCTATCTGAGATGATCGATCCGTTGGTTTCATTATCTGCCATAAGCAGATGATGATGTTTCTTTGTTTTACGGAAAAGAGCTTGACTAACTCAAAAGTCTTTTCAGCCAGCCACTGTCCGTTAGTTAACTCCATGCTCCTTACCTCTGGCGTACAGGCAGTCATAACGACAAAAGCCTAAAGACTAGAGAGAACCAAGAGATTAGCAACGCTCTGGCCCATGAATTTGAGACTGCATGTCATCTTGATGATAATAATAATAATTTCCCGGTTGCACGGGTAAACCAGGTTGGAGATGGTGATGAGCCCCGCAGAGGATCCCGCCTGGCCTCCATCGGTCATCCCGAACAACCCATAACCTCCCCGAGTGCTGTGGTTACTAGTAGTAACCAAAGTGAGCAAACTTGTCATGGAATAAAGACTGAATGTCAGTTTCAAACATCTTATAAAATTGGTGCTGTATTGGACTGATCACACGTGCAGGACGGAGTACCTGTGGAGCAATCATTGATAGTTGACATTGACAAGCAGAAGAGATGGATCGTGGATGTGCCATAAGTGGGCTGCACGTGAAGCGATCTGTGGCTGGAAAAAAGATGATCGTCACCACAAATGGACGAGGCAAGTGTGGCACGGTCACCTGATGGCGCGAACCATGCCCGATCGGGAGATTTGTTTTCCCTGCCCAGTTGATTATTGCTTGGTTGCTTGCTTGAGACTTGACAGAGATACAGAGGGGGCTGGGAGATCAAGATCAGGTATCTATTATCCAGGTAAAAAAAAAAAAAAAAGGTACCTAGGTAGCGCCTTCTCATCCTACTCCATACTCATCTATTATTCTCTACTCTACTCCGTATCCTGTACTCTTTTCCTCTTCCCCTCTTACATTTACATCTCTCGAGGGGTCGAATCGCTTTGTTATCATTGTGGAATTCTCTTTTCTTCTTTTCCTTTTGACGATTTCTCACTTTCGCTTCTTTTGCAAAGAGGCATTACATTACGTCCACCGCGTTTCTATATCAACCCGATCTTCCCGCCCAATTCTTTCGGTTGCCATAGGGCAATGCGGTCCCTCCCTTGAATAAACATTCCCGTCTCAGCGGAAAAGTAGTCAGGTACTATTGCGCATTACTCGGCCTGCTTACAGTACTGCTTCTGCTTTATGAAGCAGGCATGCGGCCAATTGAAGTTCAAAATTCCCCGTTTCTCTTGATCTTTGCATTCTTGCCCACACAACGTCATCAGTGATGGCGAGTCAGCCAATTTCTCCACGACGCACACAGACAGATCTTCCGCGACATACCTCGAGTCCACTCAGACATGGCTCGACCGCATCCACAAGTTCATCTGTCTATTCTCTCTCGTCAAATTCGCATGCTCCCAGCCGAACCAGTACCGTCTCGTCAAATGCGTCTATGGGGTCTGCCTCCGGGTTCGGCCACCGACGAGGAAAAAGTGAACTAAACTCGACCACATTGGGGACAATGGTGAAAGATACCTCCGAAGGGGCAAGCTGGACGAGCGCGGCGACGACATATGAGAATGTCCGGCGTTCCTTGCGACCACTCCCCCAGGCTCCTAATGCGGCCCCTCCGACGAACAAACCATCTGTATATCGGCATACGAGAAGTCAAACCGTCGATAATCCACAATATTGGAAGGAAAACCGCCCTCAAACTCCTGATTCGCGCCACCCACACAGTCTGGAGAGCGACCGACTGAGCGAACGGCAGTCACTCAATTCGCAGACCCCTCCGAGAAAGAACTCCATACAGCCAGGATC